GAGAGAGAGAGAGAGAGAGAGAGAGAGAGAGAGAGAGAGAGGCTTTTCCTGGTAGTCTGACTTATGCTTCCAAATGAGAAGCTTCCCCTTTTCTAAATAAGCTTATACTTTTCTTTCTTGCTTTAATTAAAATCCCAAGAGCAGAGAAATAAATGAAGTGGACAGAAGCCCATGGAAATATTTACCTGGCCTTTTGTTTCTTCAGAAATAAAATGCTAAGCGGTATTTATCAGTTTCTGGCCTGTCTTACCCATCTGGTAAGGTATTTGACCATCCAATGAGCCCCTGCAACTATCTGCTGATGAGGGTCACTGGCAGGCCGGTGGCCTAGAGAGCCTCAGCAGGACCCTGCAGGGGCAGCCACACAGCTCTTCTCAAGGACCCTGACAGGAACCAGGCGTGGTGGAGTCCTGGCTGTGTCCTGAAGCTTTGCTCTGCAGAGACCATGGCTCTCCTCCCTCTCAGCCTCCTAGGAATGAGGACTTAGGTCTTTGAACGACTTGAGATTATAACTGGAAATCATGTGTCTGTTGATCTCATCTATAAATCCTTTCTTATAAGGCCAGAGGGCCTGGCACCAACCAGGACATTTTCCCTTGGATTTGAGTATAATCATAAAACGTGGAGGCAAAGGTCACAGGAAAGTGGCAGTCAGCCGGAGTCTGACAGACCCTGGGCTCAGCATCACTTTGTGATCTTGTATTTCCCTCACATCTGCTGACTCCAGCCAGGGAGCTGGATGAGCTTTTGTGGGCAGATGGGCCCAGAATAGGCACATCCATTCCAATGCAGGAAGTCATTGAACAGCACATGCCCTGACATAATCAGGTTCCTCTAGCAAGTATTTTCAGACCTTGCATCCTGGAGGGAGCCTAGGCCCTTAGCGGGCCCAAGAGAATGGATATAAACAAATTCGTAAAGTCACCAGCCCCAGAAATTGAAACATACGTCCCTCTCCAAGGTGAAGGCTGTCTTTCTAAAATAGTTAAGCCACAGTGCCAATGAAGGTGTGCTTTTCTTTTAGTTAAATTTAATTCATGCATGTTCCTCATAGCTCTGCTGTTTATAATGAATCTGACTAGACTGAAGGCAGGACACCTCTCCATTTGGATTAGTAGAGCTGCCTTAGGGATTTATAATGAAATCGGCACTGGATTTTCTTAGTGCATCATTTGATTAAGAAACATTAATATTTGTCTAGACCTCAGTCGGTTCGTGTGTATTAATAATTTTCATGAGTTCACCTCCACACAGGTCAGGAAGTCAATCAAAGGGAAGTGGCCGGGTGCCGCATAGAAAGGTCTGCTATAGAAATGGCTTGTGTAGGCCTGGGAAGATGTGTGATTCTGAAAAGGGCTCAGTGGACAAACACGAGAACCCGAGTTCAGATCTCTAGCACCTACATAAAAAAGTCGGGCACAGTAGTATGTGCCTTTAGTTCTAGTGCTAGGCGGCAGAGGCAAGAGGATGCCTCAGACTTCCTGGCCAGCTGGTCTAGCTGAGGTGTTGAGCTCCAGCTTCAGTGAGAGACCTTGTCTCAAAAAATAAGGTGGAGGGCAATAGAGACAGACATCCATTGTTAACCTCTGGCTTCAACATGCACATACATGAAACCGCCCCCCCACAGGAGTGCACACACGCATGTACACGCGTCCACCACACAGCCAGAAGATATGGCTGGCGTAATGATAATAGGGCAGTAATGTAGGATGAAAAGTGATGTACCAGGTACTATATAGATAACCCATCTGTCTTGCAATGAGACCTCAGTTTCCCTAAGTGTTATTGAGCAGGTTACACATATTAAGTTAGTCATATGACAGGCTCATGAAGCAGAGCAGTGGGTTTTTCATTTTGGATTAGAGAGGAACAGAGTAAAGCTGGCCAGTCAAGCCGGCCCAGACCTTGAGCCAGGCAGCCCAGCTCCAGGGCCCAAAGTCCTCACCCACGCTGAGTCTCTCACATACCTGTGTTGCGTCCACCATCACTCCAGGCTCTTTCTGAACATCAACACATTTCATCCTCAAAACAACCACTTGCTCACGTGGCACAGTTCATGGGCAGCAGGTAAATTCAAGCCCAGGGTGTCAGCTTGGCATTGATTAGATCAGCCATGTTTTCCATAATTTAATAGAACTAAAAAGTAACAGTTTCTTGAGTTCACAGGGTCTGTGGTAAAATAGAGCCTGAAGGATTTTAGCACATCCCTGGATCTTGAATTCCCACATACATGTTTCTATATCACCTGCTATTTACAGCGCACCCACAGACTTTCCATGCATTGAGAAGCACCGGGAAGCCAGCCTTTCCGGGGAGGCCAGCCTGACAGGTCCCCTTTCTGTGTTCCTCCCCCAGGTTTAACATCTCCACGCCTGCTTTCCAAGGCTGCATGAAGAATCTGAAGAAAACCAGCGGTGTCGTCAGGTTGAATGACACCGTGGGAGTCACCAAGAAGTGCTCTGAAGACTGGAAGGTAAGCAGGACTCAGGGCGTGGGACACACTGCGTCCCCGAGAGCCAAGGTGGTGCCCGCGGTGAGCTGGCTTCATGCACTGCCTAGGAAACCTGATTGTGTGGCAAAGCGAAGCGCGAGTCCGTCTGGACTGCCCTGATGGTGTTCGCCATTGCAGGAAAGTGGTGCAGTTTTAGAGCCCATATCTGGGCGTCCAGGACACGATTATAACATCAGTGATTTCCATGTTTGCATGTCAGCTCGTGCGAACTGCCTCATTCTCCAGAGGAGGACAGATGAGCTTTACCAACTTGGATGTGCCCCTGCCCGACCGCTTCCAGCTCTCTTTTGGGTTTCAGACCTTTCAGCCCAGCGGTACACTATTGAATCATCAGACACGGGTAAGAGGTGGTATGTTTGAATTAAGATTCTGGCTCCACAGTTCCTGTCCAGAGCAGTGGAGAGATTTGGAGGGTAGAGAGAGGACTTAGGCGTTTTATCTGCTATCACGTGAGCAACTCTCCACCTGGGGCAGATCCTGAAGGAAATCCAGCTAGAAGCTGCCTAGTAATTGATAGAGCTGGATTTGTGTGTATTGAGCAATCTTTTCCATTCTTTGCAGATAAGTGTTAAAATGAACTATAACAGGAATAAGCAATAATGTGGCTTAGGAAAACAGTAAGGTTTATACTCAATTTCTTCTTGATTACAACTTCAAAAGATGGTCTTCAGAATCCTCTATTGCAGCAATTACTCCCCAGAAAATCTTTACCTGGAGAGTTTGAGGAAGTCAGGCCCAGTGCTCTCTTCAGTAGAAATTCCCTTGGGGCCTGGGGAGGTGACTTGGCAGGTAAAGTGCTTACTATGCAAATGTGAGGATTGACGTTTGGATCCGCAGCACCCACGTGAAAGTGGGCACGACAGGCCACCTCCAGTCTCGACTCAGGGAAGCAGACAGGACATCCCCTTAGCAGTCTAGGGCTCAATCTCCTGAGCTAGACCAGCCCAGATGGTGAGCTCCGGTTCTGTAAGAGACCCTGTCTGAATATGTGAGGTAGACAGCAATCAGGGAAGACACCTACCTGGAGGCAACCGTGTGCCTCCACACACATGAGCACCCGCGAGTGCACACCACACGGGTATACAGAGAAAAGGAACACACAGCGAGAGAGCAAGAGAGAATGAGGCAAGGGAGATTGACTGAGACACTGAGACTCAGTTCACAGACGAGTGAACAGAGCTCTATAGCTCCTGAGATGAGTCAGCTTAGAAATCCACTCCTAGGAAGAATGGGACTTTAAAATAAGTAATGGTCTTTGGTTTGTTTCTTTAGTGTTGCCAATCACCGTGGATATTTTGTATCAGATCTAAAGGATGACAGTGGCTGCCTCTGTGGCTGTGCCCATTAGAAGGGTCACTTGCCTTTCAGTGTCTTGTTTACCAGTTTTTGTAGACTTTTAAAATGATCGCTAAAGAGACAACATGTGCCATTAGATAGTACAGAAGGCGGTCTATCCAAGCTCGATAGCACATTAGTTTGACCTAATGTGCTCTCTCTCCCTCTGTCTCTCTCTGTCTCTGTCTCTCTCTGTCTCTCTGTCTCTCTGTCTCTGTCTCTCTCTCTCTCTCTCTCTCTCCCTCTGTGTGTGTGTGTGCATGTACGTGTGAGCACACTTGTGGTCATGTATGTGTAGGTGAATGAGTGTGCTCAAGAACAACTTCGTGTATCATTCCTCGGGAGCCATCGCCTTGTTTGAGACAAGGAGGTCTCTCCCCAGCCAAGGGCTCACCAAATAGGCTAAGCTGCCTAGCCAGCCCTAGAGATCATCCCATCTCCCTCTCCCCAGCCTTGGGATTGTGAGCGCACACCACTGCACACCACTGCACCCAGCTTTTTCTCTGTGGGTCTGGGAACTGGGCTCAGGTCTTTATCCTTGTGTGGCGAGCATTTTCCTGACCGAAACATGTCCCCAGTGTTGACCTAGCACGATTCCTAATCCTTGTTTCCTCTGTCACATGTATGTACAGTTGGTACACCCTCTACAAAATAGTTGAAAGCAGGTGGAAGGATTAGATTAGCAACAAGTTAGAGCAAGTTAGAGTACAGGAATTCTAGAAATGTCTTAGGGATATTGCTTTCAAGTTCAAAAATGGTTATTTAGGAAACACAGTTGATCCCATTGGTAACAAGTACTGCAAAGCCATCACTGGCTGTGAGTATGCACTGGAGAAGAACTCGCCGAGAACACACATCTTAAGGGAAATGTCAGCAATTAGACATAGCAGAGAAACTGAATGAAGCTGAAAGGACCACTAATGATAGGTTTTAAGTTACTCATTGACAGAAAGAGTCAGTTGTCTTGCCAGTGTTTGGATGAGCACAGCTTGACCTGGAAAGTTGGGCTTCTTAGAAATAATGACCAAAACATAAAACACTTATGAAAGTCACAGAGGAGGAGTCCTGTTGTGATCTTACATAGGAAAAAGATTCTGAATGATGATGAATCAACTCCTTGCTATAAAGTTTATGCAGAAGAGAATGGATTCTGATAGAGATAACTTCATCAAAATAAGTAAAAATAGGGGGAAATTAGATGTGATTTAATGTTCTATGCATCTGGTTAGAAAATCAAGAGGGCCGAACGAAAGTAGATCTAGACAAAGACTGACAAATTCATCAATGTTGAAGTATTCTGCATATCATTATTATATTCATAAACAAGGAGATGAACTATTTAAAATTATCTTCAATCAAGAGTCAAGGACCAACTATCTGGGTCAAAACACCCTGGCTGCTTTATGCCTAGTTCTGATCGTTCATTCGTCATCTCTAAATGCACATTAATTGGTGGTGGTGTATTCTGGGATGGTTTCAGACAAGTAGCCTGCAGGTCACCCTAGAAGATGGTCACATTGAGCTGAGCACCAGGGACAGCAGCAACCCCATCTTCAAGTCTTCACAGACCTACAGGGACGGCTTACTGCATCACGTGTCTGTAATCAGCGACACCTCAGGGTGAGTGGCCTGCCTCTGCTGCCGGGGTCTCGCTCACCAGAGTTCTCCAGCATAGCTTCTCAGAGCATCTCTCCCTGGTGCTGATGCTGGTTGGCTACGTGTTTTCCTGTTCCTAGTTCTGTCCACCTGTCCTGACTGAAACGTAAAGTCAGTGGTCAGATGTGTGTGGATAGATAAAATTCAAAATGGACTACCCACCCTAAACGTGGGGGGAACCATCACAAACCTTCATATAGGATGGCGTGAGTGAGCCAAAATGTGGGGAAGAGAGGCACATCTGAGAAGGACCTCCTGTGACTCTGTGTCCACGGGTTTAAAAACAGGGCAAATCAACTGGTTCAGAATTAGGAGTGGTGGTTATTCCTGGAGGGAGAGGGAAGCTGGGAACTACAGTTAACATGAGGTACTTGAGTTCTTGAGGTACCGGGAAAGTTGGTATCTTTCTATGAATGCAAACTATTTTGATATATTCATGTTGCAAAAATTCATTGAAGGGCTGGAGAGATGGCTCAGTAGTTAAGAGCACTGGCTGCTCTTTCAGAGGACCCAGGTTCAATTCCTAGTACCTGCATGGTGGCTCACAACCATTTTTAACTCCAATTCCAGAAAATCTGACTCCTGGTTTTGGCTCCTCAGATACTAGGCACATATATGGTGCACAGACATGAATTTAGGCAACACATACACATAAAATAAAAATAAAAAACCTTTTTAAAAATTGCTTGAGCAGATATCTATGATACATACTTTCAGTACATATATATTATTTGGCTGAAGTGTTGTGTGTGAAAATACTTTGCACTTTCAAATCGTTTCTGATTTGACTAGTCGTGGGTGACAGATTTGAGGCTGGGTCAGTCAGTAGATCGTGCCCACAGTGTGGGGTGTTTTGTTGCTGTTTGGTTTTTTGCGAGGAGTCTCACCCTTGTCTTGTGTCTCTCTGTTTGCAGCCTCCGACTCCTCATTGATGACCAGGTTCAGGGAAGGAACCAAAGGCTCCCTGGCTTCTCGAATCTCCAGCAGTCCCTCCGTCTGGGAGGCGGTTATTTCGAGGGCTGTATCAGCAACGTTTTTGTCCAAAGGTGGGGCATCTTTTTTCTGTGGTTATCAATAAGAGCCCACCCACCTACACACTGTCACACTTAACCCAGTTACTGGATTAGATTTCTTAGTGTTTCTCAAGGCTCTCATTCTGCATATTTCCAAAATTCATTTAAAAACCAACAAGCAAAAGCTCCTAGCAGCACAGACCTTGGAAAAGATCTAATAAAAATTAACTTTCAGATCATGGCCCTTGAAAAAATATTCATGCCATATGGTTTCATTTTAATCAAGACTGTACAGTTTGATTGGATCAGCTCTCCATGGCTTTTAGGGAAAAGGAATTTTGAGGATCTGTGCAGTTCTGGGGAGACCCAGTCACACAGTGCTGACCATGACTTTCAGAAGAGTAGAGCTCCAGGATTCCACTCATACAAGCTTTAATTGGTATCTCTGATTCAGAACATTGTAGCAGAGGAAGGTCCTGGCTCTGGCTGGGAACCTTAGGCTGGAACTTGCAGCCTTCCAAAATGGCACCATCATCCCTCCGACCATCCACCAGGCATGAACCTTCTGGACCACAGTGAGGTGCACAGTTCTCACTCATGTCCATAGCTGATAAAGCACCTCTCTTGAGCTTGTAGGCCAGTGGTTGGAGCAGGGCGTGGGGGGGGGGGGGACAGAGAAGACAGGAGGTGTGAACTCACAGCCTCTGCCAGACGTCACACAGATCTTTCCATAAACTACTTCTGTGGCGTCCTGATGTTCACCCAGATTCCTGTGCTGAACCATGTCTGTAACTTCCCTCTCTGCGTATTTGATTTGATATTTCTATATGATACCCATCTCAAAGAATAAACCAGTATTCCTGCCATACTTGAAGTCCGCAGAACTTTCTGGAGCCCTTCTATCTTGCATATGTGACTTGCGCAGATGAAAAAGTTCATGTAGGGATCATTACAGTAAGAACGTCCTTTGCCACGAGCTCTCTCTGCCTGCTTGTGGGTCTCGCTCCATAGGCAAGAGTTTGGTCATAGTTTTCATTTTTCCCTCACTCCAGGTTGTCACAGAGTCCCCAAGTCCTGGATTTGGCCAGTAAATCTACCAAGAGGGATGCCTCCTTGGGAGGCTGCAGTTTGAACAAGCCGCCTTTTCTTCTGCTGTTCAAAGGCCCCAAGAGGTTTAACAAGGCCAGGATCTTCGATGTCAACCAGGTAAGTGTCAAAGCCTTACCTTGGGTTTTACTTCTCCTGACCTTGCCTGGGGGAGGTGATGGGAGAGGGAAGCACATCCCCCAGTCTCTGCTGGTTAGTGCCGCCATGAAGTGGCACCAAAGGATCAGCAGCAGTTGACAGGCACCAAAATGGCAAAGCCAGGGCTGAGGGATGCCTCAGTCAGCAGGGTGGTAGAGTCATGCACAGACATGAGAACTTGGATTCGGATTCCCAGCACGTGTGTGGTAGCGTGCATCTGTAATCGGGCACAGAGGACGCGAAGATCCTTGGGATTCGCTGACCAGCCAGTCCAGCTGGATTGGTGAGCTCCAGATTCAGTGAGAAAGTCTGTCTCAAAAATTGAGGTGGAGGGCAACAGAGGAAGGCATCTGACTAACGTTGGCCTCGACTTCCCCATGCTCACACATGCTCATGTATACACAAACATGTACGCACACGTACACTAAAAATATGACAAAGTTATTTCTCTTCAACATTTACTTTGTATCTTGATAAGAATTTGGCGATTTTTGCAGTCTCCAAAGAAGTGGGGCTGTAACCGAATGCCGTGAGCACACTCTGTGAGTGCAACACCAATGGACCCAACTGGGGCACAAGAGAGGAAAGAAGCATTGTTACTTGTATCTAATGGGAATATCAAGGCTCATTCTCCAAGAGTGCTTCTCCTCAAGCCAAGAAATTATGGGACTTTCACTGGGGAAACTGATGTACATCGTATAGAAAATATTTCCGTCACATTAGGGGAGGTACAATCTTGAGCATGCTCAGTTAGACATCATGCGTCTTTTTCATATGTCCTTTGTGCAAAATTGGTAGAACAGAAAGACCCTCTGCAGAGGAATTATCATTTTAATGCAGCCATCCTGAGCAGTATTGACTCTGGGTCACTTGGAGGAGAGGCAATGTAGTCTTGGCTGTATTAAACCAGCTCCTTGCAGTTTGCTTTGCAGGGATTACTTAGTTTCATTTCTGTCACTGTGATAAAAAGCCACTCATGGGAGAAAGGGATGTATTTCATCTTAAAATTCCAGGTTACAGTCCCATCATTGTTGGGAAGTTGAGGCAGGAACTTGAAACATCTGGTCACATCACCTCCACAGTCAAGAGCGGAGAGAAATGAATGCATGCTTGCTCACTTGCTTGCTTATGATCAGCTAGAGTTCTCCACTCATACACAAGTTAGGGCTCTCCGCCTAGGGAATGGGGTCACTCACAGTGGCCTGCGTCTTCCTCCTCTATCAGTTAGCAAGATGATTTCCCGTAGTTGTGCCCACGGACAGACCCACTTTAGACAATCCCTCATTAAGACTTTTCTCCTGTGATTTGAGGTTGTGTCAAGTTGACATTTAAAGATGATCATCTGTCTTAGGGTTTCTATCGTTGTGAAGAGACACCATCTCCACAGCAATGCTTAAATGAAGGAAAAACATTTAATTGGGGTGGCTCACTTACAGTTCAGAGGTTCAGTCCATCATCATCATGGTGGATATGGTAGTATGCAGGCAGACATGGTGCTGGCAACAGGAAGTGGTCTGACACACTGGGCAGTATCTTGAGCATGTATAAGACGTCAAAGCCCACCTCCACAGTGACACACTTCCTCCAACAAGACCACACCTTTGCCACAAGGCCACACCTCCTAATTGTGCCACTCTCTTTGGGGGCCATTTCCTTTCAAACCACCACAATCACAAAGGCCTTATCTGAAACAAATAAAAGCTCCCAAAGGACCCTTACTGGCATTTAAAGGTGCAACAGCTCACTCCTCAACCCTTGCCTAAGCCAAGATCACTGTCCCTAAAGCTACCTGCCTAGCTGCTAACAGACCTTAATTTGGCTGTCAGAATTTCTGTGGCTGATTCCTTGCTTTTATATACTTTCATGTATTGATATCAGGTCTGGTGATTTTCTCAAGACTAGGGGAGCTATGCCCCTTCTTACATATGTGCCCACAAATATCCCCTCTGCCCTTGGTGCACCCTCTATGACAAGGTTACATATTCACCCAAGCTTTGTCAAAGCCAGAGTGGCTTAGCTTGGACTGTATATTTTAAACAGGCAAGGAGTTTTCAAATCACAATGCTCAATGACCACTTAGGTCAGAGGCATCTGAAGAGGGTCTGAGTACCTGGCAGGGACCTCCGGGAGATTCTCATGTCTTGCAGAGACCAAAAGGAAGTCATGTTGCTAACAAGGAAGAGTGTGATCATTGTCATTAGTTAAACACAAGCTTTGGAGTTAAGAAATGCCTTGCTCTGAGCTTGGTTAACAGAGTGTAACTGAGGTCACAATAAGAAGAACACGCAGCCTTGATCTACCAGGCACTGTGCTAAGGCGTGGGCACATGTTCTTATATCACTAGCCACATCGTACATAGAAGGAGACTCAGGTCTGGACAGATGAGCGATTTATGCTATGAACAGAAGGCGGACAATGGGGCCGTGCCCTCTAAGAGCGAGCTGCTGGGCTGCAGGGAGAGCTCAGTACTTGAGCACTAGTTTTTGACCAAGTAGAGCACGCTGCTCCAGCTCAGCCACAGTGCTCATTAACAATGACCATTTGCTCCTCATCCAGCTATATTCCCCAGCCACGTGGTGGTTATTAACAGGCAATACTGACTAAGAAATGTTCTGTACTGCTTAGAAACAATTCACTTCATGGATACTTGGGGACTGTTATCTTACTATGATGAGAATACTGCCTTTAGAATCGCCCCTTCCGAAGTCATGTGTTTTGTTTGTTCTAGGCTGGTAGCTACTGGGACTAAGTCAGCAGGATGGGGGTGGAGCTGTGAGGAGGGAAGGGACTCCACTATTACTCAGAAGGTAGAGAGTGTTAAACTCAGACAATAATTGTATTTGGGAGAGCAGGGAGAGGCAGAAAAATTCTAGTCCAGTCTAGATAGTAGACTACATGGTGATGCTAGAGACTTTTGTGGAGATGAGGGACAGGCATTTGGAGAGAAAGAGAAGGGACAGAGGAGTTTGTGGCGTGTTGAGTGACGGGTACCTGCACGTCATGCAGGCAGAGAGAATTGGTGGGAAACTGTTGGTATCTCTTAGGGGGCCTAGACAGGTAGAGAGTAGTGGGGGGCGTTGTTCTGAGAGGCATTAGTGAATGTATTGTCTAACTTTTCCTTCTTCTGCACAAGCTCCAGATTAGATAAACTATATTATTTCTGCTGTGTATAGATTGGCAATGGAGAGAGAACAAGGCTTATGGTGATCTGCTCACACCACACTCCTCGGAAAGCAGAAGGAAGTGAAAACTGAACAGGTCCAGATGTCAGGTTTCAGATTAGTGTTTTTTTGTTTTGTTTTGTTTTGTTTATAAGCTTTTCCAATAATACCTGGTCAGTAAATGATAGACCCAGAATTCACATTAAGCATAGCATCACCCCAGTGAATGTGCTCTTCAAGTCTCTGCTGGCTTGAAAAACTTGATAAACATTGGGAAATGTGATAGAGAAAGGAGGCTGAGGGAGGGACGCGAATCCCCCCTGATGCCAGGTCAGGCTGGTGACATATGTGACTTGGACGTTTTCAGTTGCTGGTGTAGAGCTACTGAAGGAGTTCTTCAAGCTGCTTAGGAGATCAAAGCACAGTAGGCTAGCAGCAAGCTTTATGATGACATGTCGTAGGAAAATCATGAGCACAGGGAGTCGAGATAGCGAGTTACTACAGCCATCCGGGCAAGAGCAGGGCTGCTCCCAGGGCAGAGAAACCAGATGTGAGGAAAGAAGCAAAGAAACGAAGCCCATCACAGAGCTCAGCATCACAGACACAAGGGTGATGCATGGGAGAAGGAGAGGGCAGGTGTCCACAGAGGCCGTGGTGCTGAGCCTGGGTTCCTTCAAGGATGATGAGAGAACGGAGGAGTTAACGGTGTCAGAGGGAGCTTATTGACAGACAAGGAACCCTTCCTAGGAGGCAGTAGGGCCTGTGGAGTGATCCCAGGCAGGCCTCAGGCTGGGTTCTGTTCTCAAGAGGACCCAGCATAGCTCTGAATTCAGGCAGTTCACTTAGAGTTCTGATGGGTGTGATTGAACATCTCCAACAGTGTGCAAGCTTGGGCTGTTATTTGGTAGTCTGTTCCCCTCTGCAGCCCTGAATCTGTGTGTGTTTGTGTTGTGTGTGTATGGTGTGTGTGTGTGTGTGTGTGTGTGTGTGTGTGTGTGTGTGTGTTCCGCTAGACAAGCATCCCATCTCTGGAATAATCCCTAACTCTCCACTACTTTCATTTAGAGACCATGTCTACCTTAGTTGCCTAGACTGGCTTTGAACTTGCTGTCCTCTCTCAGTTCTAGAGTAACTGAGGACTTGCAGGCCTATGCCAACAGGCCTGGCTTTGGCTGTACAGACAGCGGGTATGAAGTGTACACTCTGCCACCATATCTGTCTGGGATCAGGCTGGAGAGGAACACCCGACTTTGAAGGAGGTTTCAGGGGAGTTCTTTACTGATGGCTCCCGAAGATTCCTTGCAAATGACTTTCACGAGGACAACAGTTCGACCTGTGAAGGCTTGTTTGTCAACTTGACACAATTTAGAATCACCTGAGGAGAAAGTCTCAGTGAAGGATTGAACAGATCAGGTTGACTTGGGGACGTGTCTGCGGGCATTATCTTGATTGCCTTCGCTGGTGTGGGGAGAAGCAGCCGGAAAGTGGGGGTGCTGATCCCTGGAGTGGGAGCCTGGACTGTGTTTGAGTGGGGAAAGCTAGCTGTAAACATGCTCCTGACTGGGGCTGATATGATTAGCTGTCAACATGCTTGCATGCATTTCTCTCTGCTCCTGACTGGGGCTGATATG